CTCCAGACCAGAGCTTAACATCATCTGTCACCCTAGAAGGCACTGGGAGCCAGTTCACATCTGTAGAAAGGAGCTGCCAATTTTGACACGGTTTGCTTTTAGATGACCACAGCCATGCATTACCCCTGATTTCTGATGGACCTAAAGTGTACCCTTTACAGATGGAACCCTAAACTCAATACAGTTGGTTGTATTTCAGATGGGCAAAAAAACCCATAAGTTTTGGTTTATATCTGTTACCAAGCCTTCTCCCTTGGTTTGCCTTTCATTTGGAAATGCTCTGGGCTCTGACAACTGACTGACTTAGTATCAAATTACAGCTGAAGTTATAGACGTGTAATTAAATCAAATCTTTCTTTAAACATAATATGACTCACATGCTATTGAGGGGACCCTCAACTTCTGATTTGAGCACGGGATTTAAAGTCAAGAACTCTCAAATGATCTCAGCTTGACTTTGGACTTGTCTGTTACGATCCTTGTCTCATACTTTGCAGAGCTATTGTGAGATTTATTCTGCTAATGTCTGTATGTACTTTGAAGACATAAAGTGCTAAGTGTTATTACTTATTCAGTAGTCTTGTTTCCTATGTTAGTCACATTTGCGCAAAGCATGCCTAGCTTTTCAGTCAAATTTTGCTAGTTTCCTTTCTTCTCTTTCATTTTTCATGAAACATTTGCTTGGTAGAAGTTTTGGATCATGGTGGTCCACATCCAGCAGCAGGAAATTCATCCCTTGCACTTAGCTGCTAGAATGTTTATAGCCATACCACCTAACCCTGCTCAAAACAAATCTTTGTGATACAGTGCTCAAAACAACAAGAGCTATTGGTACCTTAGAATTTGTCTTCCTGTTAATCATATTAAAAATGGATCCGCACCAATATTCACTACAGTATAAAAACCTTATTTAAAGCTGAGGTAAAAGCTTTGTGTAGCCAAGCATTATTTTGTGGTGCTCCAAACCACATGTCTTGGACTCTCCCCTCTTATAATCATTAAGCTGTTATATCTTTTCTTAATTCAGGACTAGGCTTTTGTGCGGTGGGATGTTCTCATTTTATGGAAAACTCTTCAAGCAGTAGTCCCATGTCCTGAGTTTTCTTTGTGGGAACCTTGTGGCACTGCTTTCTGCTTTTAGCGACAAAGACTGAATACTACAGCCCTCAGCTAGTGAAAACCACTAATTAGTTTGCTCCAGGCATTGTCTGGAAGCTGTATGGTAAAGTCAAAGATGCAGTCAGCTTCCCTTGAGAAGCTCAGGTACTCAAACCACCATCAAGGCTTCAAGAAGCTCAAGACATGGCAGTGGATGTTCTAAACCAATGACCGAAAATTCCCTGATTTAATGCTGAGATTTTCTCTCGGTTAGCTTTCAGAAAACAACGTGCTCCTTTGATAGTGACACAGAACTGCTGATGTGCAATCCTACCTGCCATTACGTCCTCCTTAGCACTGCAAGGATTATTCTTACCAGGTGAGTCACTGTCCTTAGAGGGCTGTCAGCACCTTTCACTCAGAAACAGGTTCTTAAATATTCCAGAAGAATTTTTAGCATGTCAGTCAAGTCTGTAAAGGTGCGGTTAAAAGAATTTAAGAGAAGTGGGTGCCTGCTCCCATTCTGATGTCTTTCTCTTTATGTACTGTGCTAGAGAAGGAAGAAAAAGTAGTCATTGCACTTTGGAGATACTGTTTCAGACACAGGATGAGCCAAGAGCCATCGCTTCGAATAAAAGCAAATTATCATCACACCTCACCGTAAAGCAACACTTTTTCCCAAGTTTTTGCAGATACAAGTGTTAACATCTTGCACAAAGCACCATTTCTACAACTGGCCTCCACCTCCAGTGCACTGCTGGGATCTGCACGTCTCACTGGGCTCAGCGTCACTCACTGGTGTGTAGCAAATGGCTTCCACTGAGTCCTGCAAGGGCTGTGATTCAGAGTACAGATGTTTGCCTACACAAACAGCCTACGCAATCTGCTTTCAATATAGAAGTGCAGAGGCTCACCATCCCATCTTAGCACAGACTTTAGCGTTCTTTTAGAATGCCAGCCAATGCAGAGGTGCCCATTTTTTGACCTTTTACCATCCCTTTTCAAGTCTGCGCAGGTGGCCCCCTGCTAGCAGCCCACCTGCTAGCTGAATCAGACTAAATGTAACATGTGGGGGTTCCCAGTATACACCAGTAAGTCCTCAAGAGAGCACAAGGAAGACTATACAGAAATTTTGGAAAGTTATTGAGAGAGGAGACATCTGGATTGTATTCCTTGCTCCCTTAATTGCTTTGTGTAAAGCACAGCAACTTTATCAGGAGGGACTGAGAGCTTTAATGGCAAATACACTGCAAAATTGACCCTTGTGCGGAGAAGAATCTCAGTCAGAGAGACCAAGTCCCAGACATCCCAGGCAAGCTTTTTAACCATGAAGCCAGTGATAAATCAGCATTGTGTTACTCTCTCAGCCTTCTGAGTCTCACAAATGAGACACAGGGGAAATGCACATATTTTATATATGTTACCACATATCTAGTGGCTCTGTGCTTCAGGACCTAGGTGAATGTGTGCATGCTCAGCAATGGCAATGTACACATCTGTAAGGCCAGGATTTTGTGCTCCCTACGACAGGCTTACAACATGCACTGTGGAGTGAAAACAGTTTAAGGACTGCACGTCACATCCTCAGTTGTACTGATACAGCCGCATGCAAGGCAAGGCTGTAAGCCAGATTGTTGAGGCAGTAACCATTTAAAAAAAACCAAACCAACAAATAAACATGTTGCAAACCAATCAAAAAAACCAAAACCATAACTAGTTATCCCTTTGGTGAAGTAATCTTCAACCATATTACTTTGAAAGCTCAGTTTACAATGCAGCATGACGAGTACCTCTAACAGCAAGGCTGAAGGAGCAGCAAATTTTGAAGTAAAGGACAGGAACAATTGGCCAGCAGCAGCAAAGACTTCTAAAGGCAGTTTTGCAGTTGAATCCACTATACTGTGTAATTCATTTCCCCATATAAAACTAATCACTGGAGTCAAGTTTATCAGGTGTTGCTTTTTTATCTTCAGATAAAAGTTGCCAGGGTCTGCCATATCCACATGATCATCTGTGGGTTGGTTGGGTTTTTTTTCTTTCTTTCCTTCTTTTAGATCATGACACAAGTTGAAAAAAATAAATGGATAATAAAGCTAGAATTTAAATATACCATGCCAAATTACTTTCTCCCCAAAATCTTACACATATGCAGATCAAACAAAATTCAACTGAAATTCTGAGGTTCTCTGCAGTTCTGACAAGTCAGTCTGAAAAGCTGGCCCTCAATACATGTATGTAGGGCACCAATAAATTCTTATTTTTACACCTACCCACAAAGAAAAAGCAAGAGACTGAAATAAGGAAATTAACTGCACATATTCAGATGGATAAGTATCTTGTAAAATGAATAACTATGCAAGGAAAATCATTAACAATAGAGCCATCTGCTGTATTTCAAAAAAACTACACCAGCAAAAAAAATCTGAAAATGTTAAAATGCTTTACAACCTGAATTTTTCACTACTCCATGTTACAAAAAGTGATCATAATGATTAGTACATCAGTTTAAATGACAGGAAATGTGTATTTCTTACACCTTTTCTAATTAAAAGCAAAATTTACTGGCATAATACTGATCCTCTGTATCTAATGACACTAATTGACATTGTAGCTGAGCATGTAAAAAGCCTGAAATGCTTTCCTTTCCATTAGAAGTAGATAAGCATAGTGTTGTATAAGGAGACAATGAGGTCAGCAGCAAGTTGAATATTTATTTAAATACTGACAAGACACTTGGATGATTTTTTCCTTGCTCTAAAATAAGAAGAAATTCCAGGTCTGAAGAGCTTACAGTAGAAAAAAAAAAAATCAACACAAAAATGAAGGAAAGTTTAGAAGACAGACTAACCCAAGTGGTTCTTAGTATATCTTTACACTTCCCTCTATCAATATACTTGAAGACGCCTCTTTCAAGCACGGTGGAAGAAGCAGGTATCTAGAACAGAGTTCAAGGAACATAGCCTTATCAGCCAATTCCCAGTTTTGCATCTTAAAGACAGAGTTAAAATCCTGGTTAAACTAGGCAAAAATTACACCAGCACAGGCCCAAAGCTGCAGAGAGAATATACTGCTGTAAATCTGTGCTCAAATGGGTGCTTCGTTACATTCAGTCTGCACCAGCCATAGCTATGCAAAAAAGTAATACCTACGAACTATACGCAGCCCCTAAAAACCCTATCCTGCTCATGGGAATGTGTTTCTTAGCTGAAGGGTTCAGGACAAAAGACAGACAGACTCCTAAACATCAGGTCTGATGTAATTGAGTTTTCAGACAGGGAAGACTGAACTCCTTTTGAAGCGCCAATTGCAGGTAGTGAGTGCTACTGCTTTTGAGTGTTCCAGTTATAACCAGTTATAGCCAAACCCATCCCAGCACCTGCTGGATGCAGAGTTCCTCCCCTGGCTGCATCTCCAGTACAGCTGGTTTCCCGAATAGCACTCTCACAGAGGTGGTTAGAAGAAGTGATCACAAACAAGAAGCAAGAGCTGTCAGCATGAATCTTCACAGGGACGTTCCCCCTGCATTTAAAACAAGCTTACGAGTCGTCTACCTACACAACATCTGTAGCTCACCACAATTGCTTGGACAATGTGCATATCTGGCCCAAACGTATGTGTCCTTATTAAATACACCAGGGATCAGACGTTTGACAACAAATATTTGTTCCTACAAATTATGTCATTTAGCAGTTTTCAGTGTTATTTAACATTTCATGCAGTTTTTGTAGGTTATACAAAACAAGTGACACTTCATTACTACACCTGCAACTTCGGTAATTGCTGCATAATAGTTTTTGCCTACTATTGGCAAAACCTAAACTTTCGTGACTTGAAATTTTTAAGCTTCATAAATAATACAGCAAAAACATTCTTAGCTTAAAAAGAAAACCACATCTATTTACCTGCCATCATAGCTATCATACTGGCTTTGTAGACATTAGCAAGGGACCCCAGTTCACCTGTCGCCAAGATTGTTTTCATATGAGCTTCTCCACAGGCCTCACGGCACTGACGGATCTCCTTGTAGAGACCTGGGGATAAAAGCATGTGAAAATGATCAAAGTTGCCTGAGAGACATTTTCAAGTATGGCTGTAATTTCCACTTCTGGATTAATTTCCAATCTTATAATTAGTCATAGCACTCAAGAACTTAAGTTTTGTAAGTTCAATAAATTACATGACTGGAGGTAATTAACAATGCCATACAGTTTCAGACTTAACTTAATAGCTATTAATGTCGGTTCTCTCAAAACTAAGAATGTGCACAGTATGCCAAACACTCATGAATACATCAGGAGTAAAAAATGCTATGGGAGTCAAGATTGATTTTAAAACAGCTTTTTCAGCAGTAAATATGGTAGTAAATTGAATCAGGACTCAGGCACAGTTACGTTTTCCTGTCCACATCGTATCACCACTCTCCCTGTCCCCTTCAGCCCCATTTGCCAAAGGGTTCAGCCTAAAAGACACCAAAGGTATTGAACAAGTTGTCAAATTACAGACCTTAGTGCCACCTGGGATGTCATGACATACCCCTCCTGGCTTCCAGCTCCACGTCTCACTTCGGTCTCTTGCCATACACTCTAGTACCATGGGACTGTGTTTAGGCATCTGAATGCCACTTTAAGCTTCTTGAAAATAAGAATTTCCTGAAAACATTTGTTCAAATCAATGTGGTCTGCTAAGATCCCTGGTGAGGAGAGACCGAGGCCTAGGATCGAACCTCAGGGACCAGCGAATCCACATGGATCTGCATTTACAAACCAGGTCAAGTGGTTGCATTGCCCATGAGGTTAGCGAGGACTTGGACCATCGCCTGCCGTGATGTCAAACAGCCCCAGGAAGGCTGGAGAAAGCACCACAGGAGGAGGGCCAGAGGGACAACATCTGCCCAGCAGGACAACATCTGCCCAGCATGTTGTGGAGCTACCGTTCTGAAACCTGAACTCAGGTCCCAGGTTTGCCAGCCTTGCAGATTGCTTTTCTTCCCCTGCTGCTTTATAACCTAGATTGTCTGCCATCAAAAGACCATCGAAGGGACCTCCGCTTCTGATGCCCACCTTCACTGAGGAAGCCAGCTGGAGTTCAGGAGGGACCTTCAGCTCTCCTTAACTCTCACCTCCAAGCAGTCAGCGTGTCCCTGAGACAAACTAGCACACATCCCACCTGCCCACTGCTTCTTGATGCCCTGCCACTCAACCTCCCGGCCACCAGCTGCAGCCAGGGAGCAGCAGGGACAGGGAGGACAGGCCAGTATTGGGCTGCTCACCGATGTGCCCAGAGCACACCACCCGCTCATAAACTCCTGTAGTGTGGTGGCCAGAGGCACGCTTAACTTTCTAACAGTTTCAGTAAGGACTGGAATAAATAGGGACATAACCAACTGCATTTTTTAAAAAAGGCTAGAACTTGCAGATCTGGTCAGGTAACGCAACACAGAGGGCACAGGGAAAACCATCCACCCTTTTTTTGGTAAAATTCAACAGTGGTCCCACAAAATTTTAAACATAGAGAGACTAAAATTATCAAAATGTGGCTGTTAGAAGCTGGCCACTTGGAGATGATTAAGACTCATCCAGTGTTAATGGTGGGGAGCTCTTATAGTGTACAGTCACGATTTCTGGGATTTGAATTTTAAAAAAAAAAAGAGAGACAAAATAAGCAAACAGGATCCTTTGCAAGAAAGTCCTTTTCACAAATTGTATTTAATCTTCAAACATGTAATTGAAAAGCTTGTTTATAGAAGGCTAAAACACAACTTTTCACAAACCTTTCTTGCTAAAAAAATCCAGGATATGGCTACAGAGACTAATATTTTCCAGCAATACTAGCTTTCTTTTCCTCTCAGTCCTGAAGCAAGACCCGGAAACATACAGTAGGATTTGCCAGCTGCTGTATGGCTGGACCACCCCCCCACCCGCAACGCTGCTGCATCCTATTGATGCCATCGGCACACCAGGCGGCCGGGGCTGGGAATCACTGGGGTGGTCCTCTGAGATGTACTACATACATTAGTAGACAACTGACTAATGCACTTAGCAAGTCCCTTTATAGATACCAGGCTTCACCTTGTTTCTTACTGTGTACCAAAGGTGTGAATTAATCAGTACTAGCATGCAGTCTAACATGTTTTATTGATCAATTGATGATACTCCAGAAACCTACATCAAATCGAGACTCAAAAAGGAAATACAAAGAAACTGTGCTATTTTCTTGTGCATTTGATAACACTGCTCATGTTAGATCCAAATGCAGTCTCTTTTTGTGGAGTGACTCTTTCCTGAAGCTTTTGGAAAAGCCAGAGAAAGCAATTTTCCTGTTCTTCTAGTTTCGGTAACAAGAAGAAAAGACTCAAGTTTTCTCTACCTTTAAGATACGCCACCAGAAACGTCAAAATAAAATCAACAAAATGTACATTTAGGTTGGATTCCATGAAAAGAAATTATATCCTCATAGCTGTTGTTCACCGGAGTTAGTACCACAGCTACAGCATCCTCCCTATTGTTGGAAGGTACTTTTATATGCAATTAGTGCCAAGATCATATGAACAGTCTCGCTATCTGACAGCGCACATCAACCCACGGACAAGAACAACTGAGGGTGTTCAATCATCTGTTTCTATCAGGTTAGCTGAGGTGGTGGAAAAGTGGGCATACTTTAATGGGGCAGGTGTGTAGGTAATAAATACTGCTCTTTATTCAGAGATCAATTATTGCAGACAATAGCTGGCATTCATAGGACATTCTCAACCCTACAGTAAAAGCACAAATAGAAATGCAACTACCTCTGGGACAGAGAAAATTAAGCAGAGCACCCCAGTCCCAGTGCAAGCAAGGATTGCTTTGATACAGAACAAGTGCAGAAACTCCTACTCCTTTCAAAAATAAAGAGGTTTCAGTACTCAGTCAGATTTAAATCAAGGCACAAATAACTTCATTATCCTGAAACTTCTTGGCAAATGTCTAAAGTATGGGTGGAGTTAATCACACTTGATAATGCACTCAGTGTTTTAAGGGGTCCTGGCTTCTCCTGGGACAGTCTGTGCTGCCAAAAAGTCCATCACTTAACTACTCAGTTCTGTCAAGCCGATCAGTAGCAGGAACAGAGCTGGACACTACAGTTCTGGGAATACCGGCGACCTGTGCAGAACACCAGTAACTGACACAGCAGATAGAGCTTCTCTGGTTAGCAGCAGTGGCAGAAAGCTTTGGGGAAAAATCTCTATATTGCAGAAAACCCCATAGGCATATTTTGAACTGTGCACTAAGACCACCATGATTGCAAGAGATTCTCCTTCTGACTGCTAAAAACAGAGACAAGATAATCAAGAGCTCTCAAATGAAATGGCCAATGCAGTGTAGCATCTTGAACACAGCACCAACAAACCAACACTATCCATTCTAAAAGGAGTCTAAGTCTTATGCCAGGAAAAACAAGCAAACAAACAAGCAAGCAAAACAAAACCCAAAGCAAGGCAACTTATATAGAATATATTTGGAGCCAGATGCCCACTGTAGTCTGTAGTAGCTCTGCTGACTTAGCTGTTAAAATGGATGTGACAAAAGAACTCACTCACTTTGCACCCATTTATGTAAGATAGCTTACTGCTTTTATGAACTTTAGATCTGCAATTCTGATGCATTTATAGAAGTCAGAAAAATTCACATTTTCTAGGAAATGAAAAAATACTTTCAAATCTCTGGTTTTAATTCCACCGTTATAAAAGGTAAGTGTTGGAAGGTGGTTTTTTTGGTAGTATTCGTAAAATTCCAACTATTCAGTACAAACATTACATTGCTTTTAACAGTTATTAAATACCCCAAAGAAAATATTCCTCCTCCTACATATCTCAAGCAAACATCCCTGACAATTACTGCTGGCTATAATCTGCCCTAGATTGTCTAGATGGCATTTTACTTTGATCTAATATATTCGTCCTACAAATCACATAATAAAGGGGCTAATCTGTATCTCCTACATAGGAAATGAAAATATTAAGGGGAAAAAAAAACAATCCTGTCTTTCAGCTGGGATAGAGTTACTTTTCACAAGAAGCTGAGAGGGGACACCACCAGGACAGCTGACCCAAACCAGCCAAAGGGATATTCCATACCATGATGTCATACTCAGCATATAAGGGGGGGAGCTGGCTGGGGAGGAGGGGTCGCTGTTCAGGGACAGGCTGGGCATTGGGCTCCAGCAGTGAGCATATTGCACTGTGCATCACCTGCTTTGTATATTCTACGTACTGTTGTTGTTATTTTCTTCTTCCTTTGCTATCCCAATAAACTGTCCTTACCCCAACGCGTGAGTTTTAGCTTTTTCTTCCAATTCTCCTCCCCATACTACCAAAGAGGGAGAGGTGAGTGAACAGCCGCACAGCGCTCAGCTGCCAGCTGGGGCTAAACCACGACAGCAGCTTAAATTATTATGAAACAGCTATTTTCTACAAATGTGGTGGTAAAAACACTTTTCTTTTTTTTTTTTTAAATTCAGCTTATTTTCTGTTTTTATCTAGTCACTCACATTGACTGATGTTAAGGTTAGAAACTGAGACGAGGAGGGGGAAGATGTTTCAATTTCTGGTAGACCAAAAGATCAAGGTAATCATCATGGGAAACTGGAAAATGAGCTGGAACCCCTTCTGTCTTGCACATTAATGGCAGGTTTGTTAACAAAATGACAAGTACAAGGCTATCAGCACAACACAACTCTTTCAGTTCTGCTCTCAGCCACATATGTGCAGCTCCAGACTCCAGTGATTCACATGAAACTGAAAACAGAGCTTGGCTTCAGGAGTTAGAGCTGCTGCTGACAATATAAGAAAGAAATTGTGCAACTAGACTTTGAGGTCCCAAGTTAGCTTGCACATCTAGAAAACGGTAAATCAAGCTATGATATTTCTGAACAACATGTGGAGTCTTTTCCAAGTCTCTGGAGTGGAGAGTGTATTTTCTCTGCCCTGTTTATGAAGTATATAGCACAAAAGGGGGCTCCAATCCTTGAATGAAGCCTCTAAACTCACAGTTGAATAATTACTAACAGAATTGAAAGGCAGCTTTCATAATGAGGTTATACCTAATTTATTTCATGGATGCAGCCACATTCAAACTTCTTTTTTCCCTTTTCTTGTAAAAAATTCAACTGACATAGAGCGAAAGATGGGTTAACAATACCTCTGAAGCTGCTGACAGTGTAGTATGTCCAGGTGTTTGCTAAAAGCTGTGGAACTAGAAGTAACATTACAGCATCCCAAACAGCTCCAGAAGGTACAGCAACTCCAACACATTCATTGATAACAGAGAAGGAAAAAAAAAACCAAAACCAAACCTAAATAAATCCAGTTTCTTTCAACAATTTGTTGGTCAACTTCATCACTCTTTACATACAGGCTCCATATTCTGTTCCTAAAGACAGTATTTAAATTGTGATTTTTAAGCTTAATCCATACTTTCTCAAGGGATACAAGACAATGATTGAATAAAGTATTGTAAAGTAGTATTGCTTTAAAACCTAATAGGTTGTAAAAGGTATGTAAGTTCATAAGCTTGAATCTCATTTAAAATTGTTTTCCAACATAAATTAGCTGTCCAATAAAGCTGCTTTCATGTTCAGCACTATTAAAAAGATCTTAACAATTACTTTGTAAAAATCTAGAAAATATATTCTGAGTGCCATAAAGAGCTCCAACGATATTTAAGAAGTGCTTTAAAATAACTTGACATAATTGGACATACACTAAAATATTTAATAACCAAACAAGCCTTTGAAACAAATCACAGAGCAACACTATTCTGTCATGGTGACCCCAATTATTGCACAGGCTAGAAAAAAACCTTAAAATATATGAACAGTAAGATAAAACACTCTACCACATATATATTTTTGTCAATAACTCCTGAAGCTGTGAAGACAGGCAGCATGAGAAAATAACGATAAAAAATATATTAGTGTTATGAGCATAAGCAGAGGTTCTGTCATAACTGCAAAGCAGCTCTAGTTGATGAAGCACCTTGAACACAGGCACAGTTACTGCACTAGACTTTTCAATTTTATGTAATATAGAGATTCATCCCAGAAAAAGACTACTTCATCCCTTCTAGTTTTCTTGAATGTACTTTATACACTCTTATGTATCAGATCTAATCATTAGATAGAGGTGGAAACCTGCATGTTCAGACAGGTAATATACATCTATTGAAAGCTAAATAGGAAGTCAGAACACTAAATTTTCAGATCACCTACTGAAGTGATTTTTTTTGATGGGAAGTTAAATATTATAATTTTTCACTCTGTAGCATCACTATCTGGATTGCAAGTAAATTCTGTTCCCGAGGTACCTTTTTTTCAAGACCATGTAAATATGTGCCATACACAGAATCACATTCATGACTAAACATTCAGAAAACATTTGGAAATAATTTCAATTCTGCCCTCAGTAAAAAAACATAAACAAACCATTGCCAAAAAACAGATGGCTTTCAACCTTGTCATGACTTCAGCTCTGGATAAAAGAATATGCATATCAAATCAAAAGTCATCCTTAATTTACTTATTTAGTGAATTGACAGCTTTATATTACATCCATCATTGCTACATCTGTGTACTCCTCCCCTGTAATTTGTGATCACAAAAACCAATTCATTTCCCATATAGAAAAACCTAATAATGTATGTCCAGTTCATTTCAATCACCGATACAAACTTTCTGTCTGAATCTAGCCCTGTATTTCTCCTCAGAGTTTTCCTTAATGTAATCCTGGGCAATGTAACCTCGAGCCTGGATTTGCAATTGCCCGCGTGCACTAACTTTCTGATCTCTGCTGTATGCCCCTTGCATACAAACCCTTGACAGTGGTTTGTACCATGAAGTCTGAAGCATGGTAACCACACATGTCAGAAATTGCTGCAACACAGACTTCTTCAGACTCAATTGCAAGTTGCTGCTCAAGTCCACTTTAGTGGACCTTTTTTAGTCTTAGTGACAGATCACTGACTCAGCTCACTTTGTATTCAAGACCAATACATGTTCCCAGAGGAGCACAGCTCCTGGAGGGGGTACCTGCTTTGTAGACCATAGTGTAGACCCTAACAAAAATACAGCATAGGAAGGTGTGCATATAGTCTTGCTGCCAGCTGGTGCAGAACTTGATCCGTCATTCTGTCTTATTTAAAACCACTCAATCACCCAGTTTCCATATTCCAGCAATTTCTGAGACCATACCTTAACTTAAAATAGCCACTCTGAAAGAAACAAATGTCTGCAGCAATGCCCATCCTCAAGAAGTCACACATTTGTATAGCTGCAAATATTTAAGAGTAAAAGGATGGAGACGGTAAATAATACAAAAGAGGTCAAGACGTTACAGCAAGTGGAAACCAGGATATCAGTCCTGAAGGCACAGATGCAGAAACGTGGGGGTTTTTGTTCGATTCTAACTGCTAATGGGAAGACCAAAATCAGAAAATATGATCTGTTACCGTGATGACTGTATTTCCTTAACCAAACCCGGGTACCAGGGGTCCTTTACGAAGTCTTCCAAGCAAACAGGCTATTACGGAGATGCATTATACAACTAAATGGAAAATTCATTCCGAGACAATGATGTGTTTACCTTCACATGAAGATTAGTTATAGAAGCACTGTCAGCACTTAAGGCAAACCATTCACAGTACATTAAGGAGGCAATTAGAGCAAAAACCATCTTCAGCATTATTGTTCTTACTAATTAGTAGTAGTCTACAGACACAAGAACATCAATAATAATATGAACAGTCAATTTGTACCCTCAAATTTCAGGAAAAAGTAAACAACTAAAATACATATTTTTGTCCAGAATTGAAACATGTATATTTAACAAGGTATCGTCTACATTAGCAACCCCTTGGGGGTTTTAACAAAATTGTTCAAATAATTAGGCATTTACTTCCATTTTACTTTCTATTTTTTAATCCTGTACAAAAAAATCCTCTAAAGGCATAGAAGGAATAGGCTTGCATTTTCAAAATACAAAATCATTCTGCATGCCCAGCCTGACAGGACTTGTAACAGCATTATTTTCAAGAAATGCAATCATTTGTCATAAATTAGTTAAATAGTATTTATTTAGTTCAGTGCCCCAGATTATCAGCCACTCTTAGGGGAGGGACCAAATTCTTCAGGAACTGATGTGGAGACTTGGGGAAGAGACAAAGACAGAGCTTGCACGTGCATATACAGAGGTTTAGGTTCCTTGCCAAAGGGTGGGTACTTACCTTCCCACTGGCCACTCAGGACTAGACTCCTGCTGATGACAATGTCAATCTCTCTGGCACCATATTCCACAGCTAGCTTTATTTCGGCCAGTTTGGTTTCTAGAGGAGTTTGTCCAGATGGAAACCCAGCAGCCACTAGCAAGAAGGGGAATGGATGCAGGTAGAGGGAAGAGAATGTTTTATAAATTGACCATAAAATTGCATATACCTCTAATACACTAAAGAGTTTGAAAGTTAATCTTTTTTTTATCCCTACCATGATTCAAAAAATCTAAAGGCACCTCATCCTACCCTCTCTTCATCCACAAGAAACATTAGCTCTTCCCTCAGGAACCAATGTCCAGCAAGATACTTAGTGTATCTCATGAAAAGATCTTTCACATACCTTAAGTTTTTCCAAAGCAGCCTAACATAAGAAAGCACAATATTTATTGCTTCCAGCAGAATTGAGCAAACAAGGAGTGAACTCGTATATGAAGCAATGCATACATTTTTAATTCTTTTAAGAAATATTTCAAGTTAAATCCTAGTAATGTGTTTAACATTAGCCAAATCACAATATAGTAAAAATTGCTTTCAAGATTGCATTTATGATGTTTAAGTACAAAACCCAAAGGTAACTTTGGAAATGGAAAAAATAATGGCTTTGTCAGAGATCCTCTTTCTCCCTAACATATAAATGCATTATGTATTTTTCCCCTACAAAACAATGAAACAACAAAAACCCACCAGAAAACATGGATCTTAGCATTAAACACCTGATCCAGCTTCAAAGTTGGCCCCCGCTTTGAGCAGGAGGTTGGACCAGATGACATCCACAGCTCCCTTCCATCCTAAATAATTCTTTGATTCTACTTCTTGCTCATTGTAGATTCAGGACTTGTCTCTCATGTGTGGTGACTGGAGAAGAGCTGGCACTTAGATTTGTAAGTACAAGTCCTGAACCTGCAGGCTGCTCAGCAGGCAATAACCCTTGCCTTTGCACACAGCTTCATTGAAATCAGCTTGTAGGATTATACTTAAAAGCCAAACAACTGATAGGGAGAAAAACACCCACCCTTGTATTAGAACTCCTAAAGCTCATACTGCAGTATTACTACTACTACTGTTATCATCATCATCATCATCTACTTAGTATCTACTGATACTTTGTCCAGCACACTATCTCAATTTCTTCTATTTGGCTGAGGAAAACACTGATATATCTTAAGAACCTCTTTGAAGAGCTTCCAGTAAAACAGATTTGGCACTCCTGGTAAGCTTGAAGTTGAAAGAAAGCAAAAGATTATACCAGAAGCAAATCCTCTCCTCCATTCCCTTCCTTCCACCTGCTACCTTTTCACCTTACTCTGAAACAAAAGCAAGTCCAAACTTCTTGATTTTCCTGCATATTTTATAGCATCAAAATATTTAATTGGATATTTTTGAATAAAGCTTACCTGAAGCTACTGGTATGTTACAACCAGCAGCCTTTAGGGCGTTAACAGCATCGGTGACTCTTGTTGGATATACACAAACTGCTCCAACAGTAATACCTGCAAAAGCCACAGTTCATTTCTTCGTATATAGATTACCACCTTCTTGAGTACAATCCATATTACGAGCACGTGTGCATTGTTCTCACCTCCCACTTCTGCATTCTCACAAGGATCTTAAGCACCTACACGAGGGATGTCTGTTTTATTGCTCAAACGGTTCAGGTAATTCTCCATATTGTCACCTTCCTCATGTTCCTTCACTGGACCCTGGGAGCAAGTTTGCACTAGCAGGAGTTAAAATGCCAAGATTTTTATCAACAGATTCACTGTTTAATGCCAACACGTACAGTTAAGACATGCTTAGTCAGCAAATTATTGCAAGAAAGACCGCACTGTCAAGCCCTGTCCTTACTTGTTGAACCAGACTGAGCCCAGCAGCAACTGAGTAGTCTTTATGTTAATGCAGTCCTACCGTGTTTTTCATTAAAATGCTATTCTCTCAAGTCTCAAATAATTGACCTTATATTTAATACTTCAACGTCTGAAGAGTCCATAAATCCAAGTTTTAAAAAAAGGCTAATCTTTGATATTTTATGTATATGGCTTAAAATCAGAGGCCTGATTCCCCTTTGTTTCTACATCATATGACTTCAATCAGTGGACCAATGCCTGTGTAAAACTGAAATATTTCAATAGTAAAAGCATGCCCCAAATGTCACTGGGATTTTCTTTTTGTTAGATCATCATAAGACCAACATGACAGGACAAAATTCAAATGTTATTCACTGACACATCAGTGATTACATCTGGAAAAATTCAGAAATGACGCTCAGATATAAAGAGGTTTTATTGATAGTTATATTGACAGTCTGAATTTGCTCTGAAGTTTTATCGTGTTCAGTCTTGGGTGTAACTTTGGGACTTCAGATGCAGCCTGCTTGAGTAATGTCAGTGAAAGTTTTAAGGGCTGTCTTCCACCTCTTCAACTGCGTCGACTTACCTGAGAATTCTGTGTGTGCACGCACGCATGTGTGTGTGTATACATGATATACACACAACCGCGTACACTCACTACAGGACTGAGTCCTTAAAGTAGACTGGGCTGCAAAGATGTTTCCTATCTTAACTACTGAAACAAGCAGGCAACAGATAATGTTTTCTGAAGGAAAAATAACATGCTTAGGACTGTGGAATGCATCTTTTCTGACAGGCAAAGTGCCAGGCTAGGTAGTTACATACAGAAACAGCAGCTAAGCATGAAATCCAAAGGAGTCACATGAACACTCCCCGTTTCTCCAGTTTACTAAGGACATCAGCAGATTAACAAAATGTTCACTTAGTTTCACCTTAGTGTACTGCTATTAAAAGACATACACTGAGGTTACACACTTGTGGCTTCCACATCAAATTTCATAGAATCATAGAATGGATTGGGTTGGAAGGGACCTTAAAGACCATCTAGTTCCAACGTCCCTGCCATGGGCAGGGACACCCTCCACTAGACCACGCTGCCCAAAGCCCCATCCAACCTGGCCTTAAACACTTCCAGGGATGGGGCCCCCAAAACCTTTCTGGGCAACCTGTTCCAGTGCCTCACCACCCTCACAGGGAAGATTTTTTTTCCTAATATCTAATCAAAATCTACCTTCCTTCAGCTTAAAGCCATTACCTCTTGTCCTATCACTACATGCCCTTGTAAACAGTCCCTCCCCAGCTTTCTTGTAGGCCACGTTTAGGTACTGGAAGGCTGCTATAAGGTCTCCCTGGAGCCTTCTCTTCTCCAGGCTGAACAATCACAGAACAGTAGGGGTTGGAAGGGACCTCTGGAGATCATCTAGTCCAAACCCCCTGCTAGAGCAGGATCGCTTAGAGCAGGTTGCACAGGATTCCGTCTGGGCAGGCTTTGAATATCTCCAGAGAAGGAGACTCCACAACCTCTCTGGGCAGCCTCTTCCAGTGCTCGGTCACCCTCAGGGTAAAGAAGTTTTTCCTCATGTTCAGATGGAACTTCCTGTGTTCCAGTTTTTGCCCATTGCCCCTTGTCCTGTTGCTGGGCACCACAAAGAAGAGTCTGGCCCCTTCCTCTTGACATCCACCCTTTAGATATTTATAAGATCAATAAGATATATTGATCAGATCCCCTCTCAGTCTTCTCCAGGCTAAACAGCCCCAGCTTTCTCAGCCTTTCCTCATACGAGAGATGTTCCAGTCCCCTAATCATCCTTGTAGCCCTCCTCTCTCTACTGTCTCCAGTAGAGAGATCTTTCTTGAACTGGGGAGCCCGGAACTGGACACAGCACTCCAGATGTGGCCTCACCAGGGCAGAGTAGAGGGGGAGGATAACCTCCCTCGACCTGCTGGCCACGCTCTTCTTAATGCACCCCAGGATACCATGGGCCGCCTTGGCCACAAGCGCACACTGCTGGCTCATAGTTAACTTGTCCACCAGCACTCCGAGGTCCTTCTCCACAGAGCTGCTTCCCAGCAGGTCGACCCCTAACCTGTACTGGTGCTTAGAGTTATTCCTCCCGAGATGCAGGACCCTACGCTTACCTTTGTTGAACTTCATTAGGTTCTTCTCCACTCAACTCTCTAGCCTGTCCAGGTCTCACTGAATGGCAGCGCAGCCTTCTCGTGTATCAGTCAATCCTCCCAGTTTTGTATCAAACAACCCCAACTCTCTCAGCCTGTCTTCATAGGAGAGGTGCTGCAGCCCTCTGATCATCTTCATGGCCCTCCTCTGGCCCAGTTCCAACAGGCCCATGTCTCTCTTGTACTGGGGATCCCAGAGCTGAACACCGTACTCCAGGTGGGGTCTCACCAGAGTGGAGTAGAGGGTGGGGACTCACCTCCCTCGACCTGCTGGTCACACTTCTTTTGATGCAGCCTAGGATACGGTTGGCTTTCTGGGCTGCAAGCACACACTGCTGGGTTATGTTGAGCTTCTTGTCCACCGGCACCCTCAAGTCCTTCTCCTCAGGGCTGCTCTCAATCCATTCTCTGTCCAGTCTGTACTTGTGCTGGGATTTGCTCATCAGGTATCATAACTTACAGTGTTGCCCTGAGTCCATGCTTCACTTTGGTTGCCAAACTGAGAACGGCTTTTTTTCTCCTTGTATTCATATATTAACTCAAAGGAATATTTTGCAGTTAGAACTTAAGACGGTTGCTTTGAATAAGACCGTATAGGACATAGTTTGTTCTCTCAGGACTATTAGTTCTGCAGCGCTGCCTGCCATAACTGCTTCCATTATAGGAAGAAGTGGCTATTTTTACACCTTTCTGAAAACTGAAAAAATAATGAGGAAACACAGACATTTTCTCCACAAAATACACACAACAAAAACTATCATACCTTTATCGTGCATGTCCAAGGCTTTCAGCAGATCCTCTCTGATGGGATGCTTTGCTTTAAAACACAGCCTGTGAACATTTGAAGGAGTATCATCACCTGAAAGAGTGGTAAGGTCTATGCAGGTGACAGCTTTCAGCAGCCAAGCAGCCTACAAAAGGAGTAAAACAAGGAATATAGTATTTCAGTTTATGCTTCCAAAGCCAAACCAACTTAGAAGATGCAGGAATCAGAAGCCTGGCTCTCACCAAGAATGAGGAAATGTATGGGACATAACATGGAGGATATGCAAAGAACGGCTTATGACAGACAGGGTTGGCAGATATTTGTTCATGTCTTGAGCAGCAGCTAATAGTACAGAAAGGATTTGGAATCAAAAGTCCGCGCTCTCAGAACCAAAGGATCAAATTACATTTTTTGGTGCAAAATCTAACTACCAAATGGGACTCTGTAAGAATTAGACAAACATTTTTACCTGGACAAAAAGCATCTTGTTTCAAATTTAGTTCTGTAAGACAAAGATAAAAACATCACCTATGTGAGGAACCTCACTGTTATAATATGCTCCATTCAATACAGTATGTCTGTATCTTTAAGGCTTGTATGCACAAGAAACATGCTGCAAGAGGAGCACAAGTATGCAATTGCCAGTAACCAGCTGAGTCTACACATCAGCAATTTGCACATTTGCACGTCTGCATGTTTCTCTTGCTGTGAGAGCAAAACATGGAATCAGTGGGGGGTAAGAACCCAGACTTCTTAAAACTTAGGATCTAGACTCCAGATGATTCCACTTTCTTTTGTGTAAATCGGGAATAAAAAACATCTGTAATTATTTGGTGTAAAAAACCAAAATCAAGAGCAAAATGAGAAGGCTAAAGCACTCTTTAGATGAAAATGCTACGGAATTTTAAAAGACTTATTAATTGGCAAATGGAACAGAAGTACAACTAAAATTTTTTTGAGCTTTTTTGCTGAACAAAAATTGAGCTTAAGACATTATTTTGAAATATTTGTTGAAGGTCTTCCAGCAAATTCTCATTTACAGTGATGGCTTCACTAAAAGCTGACATCTCTTAGAGGGCACTTGTTCAACATGGGGAGAGTATACAATGGCCAAATCCATTTGAGTCCATAAAGTCCCTCTCTGACTGCTCTGCTCTGTGACACGATTTGTCAGTATAGGCAGCAAAACTTGTTGTTTCTGCATGGGGGTATTACTCTGCAAATCTTAAGTGGCTGCCCAGCCTACAAACCTTTCACACTTGGCTCATGGGTGCCTCCTTTCTGAACTTGCAGTAAATGTTATACTGAAAGCTGCTTTGGGGTGACTGAACAGAGTAATGAACCACTACTGGCCCCCGTTAGTCTAAACTTGACTGCTTGTTTCTAATTGATTTCTACTTTCACTCTACAATACTTCAAAAGGGTTTTTCACTTTAAATGGTTTTAAGTTTCTTTTACTTGGATTTTTTTTATCCTTCATTCGAGGGAATTTTTGTCTCATCTCTTATATCATGAATCATAAAGTCATCAAGACAGAGGTAGTCAGGGAGTTCCAAGAACTGGTATGAACTTCATTTTTTTAAAAGGGTTTTTCAAACCTTAAAAATTTGAATCTGTGGTGCTACTTACATTCAAGCATGTAAAGGTTCAAAATCATCTCTGTGAAATAAACAGCACATGACTATCCTGCAATGACAGTGTTTAAATACAGGATAGATGCTTCTGGCATTCTTCAAAGTAAAACCTTACTCGAGTAGCTCAGTACCAGTGTTACTACACAGGAGAGTTGGAGGAGTGTTAGTAATAATTAAACATTTGTCCTACGGCCATGTTGAGGGAGTGACACTAAATCCCTTTCTTCCCAATGATTCTTTGTCATCAAAGCCTGTGGCTCTCTTTGTTCTTTATATAGTAACTTCGGTCAAATCAGAAGACTTACTCTTTACGTTACTGCACCTGCAGTATCTGAAGATAGCCAACGTTACAGAATACCCTCTGGCTTTTCTCACTAACACTATTTTCCAACCCAGAACTACTGGACTGTTAAATTTGGTATGAAGTGACTTTTTATGCATAAGAAATTCTTGAGAAATGCTGAGATGGTGTCTAACATTCCTCAGTTTATATCCATTTTTTATTTAATCATAGCATTCAAAGCAAAAAACCTTCAGGTTTATGTAATAGGCAGGAAGGTTTTTTTTCTATCACCTTCCGGTAGGATCTTACAGCTGCATCAAATTATCCTCAAAGTGTCATCCGCAAGATCTGTGCTCACTGTGAACGCAGCTTTGGCCACCCCAGAATGGCTGCCCGACATGCTAAGCTCAGAATGCCAACTATTGTGAACAGCTTTTTTAAGAATTAAGTATAATTAAATGGTTCTTGCTTTGTTCTAGTATCTTGCACTGTTAAGATTGATCCTTAATTGTCTCCTTCCTCCTGCTTCCAGGTTTTTAGTTACTGTTGCAAGTAAATGACTTGTTTAGCGTGCAGAGGGGAGGAATCACATGCATTTGCTTGCAAAACAGCTGTTTGGTGAATGAAGAATCAATTTGTCCTTTGGACACCGGTTACAACCCCATGGCTGAGAGCTCACTGGGAGCTCCAGGTCTGCTGCATGGCATTTCTCAGACCTCGCCCTTGGCCAAATGCTGCCAGAGCACTTGTGGCATCCTGCAGCCAGCTCTGCTTGCCGTTCCCCTCTCAGTTCTTCCCATCCTGCCTCTGAGGCGTAGGAAGCCAGCCCCATGGCGGTACCTCACCTGCTCTGCTTTTCAGAACGCATTAGCTTGCGTTGCTGATCTGATGGCTTTGCATTACAGTTCTCACGTACAAACTGGAGAAACCAAAACGCACACCAGGCCAGTATCTGACAGTTCGGCCAAGAGGGCAGTAACAGCAGAGGCTGAGGGTAACTGCTACGGCACTCTAACCACGTGTGTGCAATTAATACAAGTCAGCCTTGAAGAAAAGTTCATTCGCACCACTGGCTTTAGCAATGGCTTACGTGAATCTATTTTATACTAAGATGGACAATAACTGATCATTTACTTTATCTCAGGAGTTGAGAAGTCAGTCTCCTTAACATTAGTGAGCTTGCTCATTTGTTTTTGTTTTTTCCTTTCTCCCCCCAAGTGCCATAGCGAGTCAGGATTTTTGAGTTTTAGGCAAGAACTAGTTAAGCAAAGAAATCACACATGTTGGGGATGCTTAAGTAAAGAAAAATCATCCAGGTAGGTCAAACTTGACAGGGACCATGATCATATCTTACAGCCTTAAAATTAAAAAATAAGAAGGCAGCACGCAGAGAGGTCTGTCTGGGAAACAGAATAAATGTGGTGGGTTAGTAATATACAATTTAATCCACTCATGAATAAAGATGACTTAAATTCATTTGCGGTTTTGCCACTCATGAGTTATAAGGTTTTTAACTTGTTTGGATTAATGCGTCACCTTATTCCATCCCATCATCATCAAATACAAATTATTAAAATAAGACATGGACAAGCACACCTTTTAAGTTTACATGTATCTTGAAAAAAATTCAATATTGCAGCCTGGAGAGGGAGAGTGACTGCTTGAAAAAATACAGGAACAGAATGCATAAAAAGAGCACTTACTTGCCAATTACCTTTCACAGTTCTCCATTTTTTAATTTGTTCTGCATGCCTCACAACTGCAGGTCGATTCACATGCACTTTTGAGATCCAGCCAAGTTCTGGGGTAGAAAAAGAAAAAAAATTCCCATCTATTTCTGTGTTCTTTTCATATATGGTTTGGGACTTCAGAAGAAAGTTGTAGCTTGGTTTGGAACCTCTGAAGAGCATGTTGTGCTTTCATGTCCTTTTAAGGGCTTGCATACTTATCACCAGTCCAAAATATCATAGTAGCGTTAACTTTTGTTAGGGTATGATCTGTGAACTGGATGTTTCACACAGTATGTTTCATTTGCCATTACAACTGAATTAACTTACTGCTGATGAGACACACTAGGTTGCCAGTCCTAGACTATGAAGTTTATAATACAGGTAGCATATTAAAAACACTCCCACAAAACAGCTGTCTGCCATTGCTTGCTGATTTACTTCTTGATTCCAGAATACGGCAACATTTATTCAGCCCTTTGCTTCTCTGCTGGCACCCAGGATACAATAGCAATTTTTATGCACGCGAACATTTTTTTACAGGAACTGTACCCCACACGGTCACCAAAACCTCTGGACAGACCCTTGCATAACAAAGCATTTGGGTTTTTATTGTCTAGAGCTAATTTTACTGAATTTGCTACTAGGGCCTGACTAACTGCAAGTTTCCAAAAGCACTGATTTCCTGGGCAACATACTTGCCTGAAAGCTGCTGAGGTACATGCCTGCCTGCTTGCGAAGTGCTCACCTTGCCAAGCACCCAAGAGGACTCATGGCAACATTTTCAACATGTGAATCCCTTCAGATGCCAACTGCAGATAGGCTAGCTCACAATCTCAATGAGTTCTAGTATCCATAAACAATCGCCAGAGTCAAAGAGAAGCAGATACTCAATGCTTACTAAGATAATGAAACTGTCTAAAAATAGAAGCACCAAAAATTGGACACCACTTAATGAAGGGTAACTGACAGAGAAAGGAGAATTGAGGGTTCACGCCCTTGGATCTTGAAATTTCTGCTTAGTATGATAAACCAAAAGTGTAATTTTGAATGTTAATGAACACAAAATACTCACAGAAGTACACAGGAAAAAGAAAGCAGAACATCTTTAAAATCTCTCCTATCTCAAAACATAAATAATTCTTCTAAATACTAATCATATAAGCAACCCACAAAAATACTCTGAAGACAACATTGACAATCACTAACCACCAGTCATCAGCAAATCACCATCATCAATCAAATATCATCATCAGTTAAGGTCAGTATATGGGTATGTGCTTAGATACTAAGAGATAATAATTCTGGGTGACTTTATTAAGAGCATCTCATCTCTATGAGTCCTCTTTACTACCGTATTAAACTTGCATTTCCCTTGAGTACATTGATCTAAAAAGGTTTAAAACTTTAAAAACAGCTAATAGCCAAAATCACTAATTTTGTACAGAAATATCATCTTCAATTTTTTTTCTTCCTCCTTTATAGTTTTAATGGCCAGGAAAAGTGCGGAACTAATATACTAGCTAAAGGATGTATAGATAGAAGCTTGTTTTCCTAATTAGACTTAAAAAAAGCTCTGGAGAAACCAATTTAAGGGAAAGATGACTCAGTGGAAATACAGAACAAAGGCATGAAACGCAGCTAAGTGAAATCTTGTTCTGAGCATAGCAAGCTACCTTGTTACCACTCTCTATTACCACATACAAGTAATTAAATGAGCAGTACAGGCAAGGTCAAAATGTTGGCCAAAAGCAGAAAAAGTTAAACCAAAGAAGGAATTTCAAAGGAATCCTAAGGCATTCAATGATTTCTTTAAGACTTTAGCATCTCATTGTATGGTCAAAAAAAAAAAGGAGGAGCTTGCGAAGTTGCAAACCAGTCGAACAACAAACCCTCATTACTCCTCTCCACTTTCAAAGCCACAGGCTTATCCATTCTGCCCCAAAAGCAAGAAACTCAACTGACATGTAGAAAGTAGGTGAGGAAAGCTATTGCTACTAAACCTATGGCTAGAACTTTCCTTCTTTTTGAATATCAATAAACGCAAACCATATAAACACAGACAATTCAAATAGAAGCTAGTGAAACCTCTACATCCTCTGCAGTTGCTTTACGGTCAAGGTTCCTATGATGTGATCACTTCCCATGGGGTCATTAAAGGCAATATTTGACAAAGTCCATGGAGGAGGAAAATACAAATAAATAAATAAATGAAGGAAACACAAACTCTGTGGTGGGATTCTGCTACTATATGCAAAGTGTTCAGGAAGAATCATTTAGTCATAATCCAATTTATCAGGATAACTTTTGAACCCTACTGGGTGCCTGGTGACCTTTCAGCCCCTTTGGAAAATGTGATAAAATCAAAGCAACCAGTTTAGATGAGGAATTCAGCTTCTTGCTCTCAAATACGGATCCTTTCAGTTACTCTACTCTAACCTATTCTTTCTACGTAATGAAAAACAACCAAGAAATCCAACTAAATAATTAATTTATGAAACTACTGCCTTCTACATAAGAGTTAGGAAGACTATGAAAACAGCATCCAGTTTGTTAGATATAGAAAAATATCATCTTCTTGGTTATTGGGGCATAAACCTGAATTTAAAGTGAAAGAACCAAAATTTCCCCCCATGAGTAGGTTAACCCTTTGTTACTTATTATTTGAAGCAGATTCAGTCTCAGTAATCTTGTGCTGGAATTTGGCATAAACATGCTGCTGTTGTATCTGGCCCGACCTGACTTTTGAGCATAGCTTCTCAGAGGGTCTGAGTAATCTCTGCAGGAAACACAATACTGCACATTAGATTAGTTTATGGAAAATAGTCAAGGGTAATACCCTTTTGCAGGGGATGGGGAAGTAATGTTTAAGAAGTTCATGATCAATGGGACAAAAGAGGGGGAAGAATAGTGGGAATGAAAAAAAAAGCTACTACTTTTGCTTACTCATCTTTGCCCAAAGTCACCTGTGAAATTTACCATATACCAGCTATCAGCAATAGCTGATTGCATGCTCTTAGTTCTTTACAAATATGACGAAATTCATTGGCTTAAGCCCGTTTCACTGCATAACACATTTTACCTTCTGTTTGCAGTAACTCAAGACTAGTCATGAAGGTAGCTGACACGTGGCAACTCAGTAAGGTGTAATATCTACTTTTTGTGCCTGAGATGCAAGTTTCCTTGAAAGACCATAGAATTTGGATCTCCAAGTATTTTTCTCAAATGTAGGATATTGAACCACTGTGCACAGCACAGGCAGAAAACTTAATAAAAGATTTTAAAATAATTACACAAAAAAAATCAAAACTCCATCCTGTCTGTACAACTTAATGTGAGACATTATGCAGCTTACTAAAGGAAATAAAATGGTGTAATAAAAAAACCACACGGTGAGGAAGAACAAAGGTTCTGGTGATACGTACGCAGCAGCAGATGGAGACTTCTATCTAACACAGACCTTTTATTCAAGCCCACTTCTCCATTAATTAAAGCAGTGGGCAAGTGAAAACAAATATGTCTCAGTGTAACTGTCTCTAAATAGACTTTTAAAGTTTGCCATGTGAGGTCTCACCAAATCTTTAAATGTAAGTCTCTTTATTCAGAAAAATCACTCACAATTCCAGCTTTTTTTTTTCTCATTAAAAATCAGAATAAAACCATTATTTGAAATAGAACTGACTGCCTTTGGTTTCTCCCCCTCCTCCACTCCCTCAAGCTTTACGATTTAGTATCTGGCTAAGGAAAACTATATTTAATTAGGCTCATTAACCTTGCAGTGTGAACACGTCTTTTTTTTTTTTTTTTAAATAAGTCATCTGCTAGTCATCTGCACAGTCATGTGGCTTCAGGGATAAAAGTAATTAAAGCAGTTACACTATAGCTAATTAGCCAATATTCTGTAATCACTCTTCAAGTTTACTTTTTCCTCTGAAGACATTTGAAAAAATCATATTCATAATCTTAACAGGAAATTCATCTCCTCTCTTTGAAGAGCATGAATCCAAAAATACCAAGCATTTCCTCAGAAAACAATAAATAAACCCACTTCATTACGATAATTACATAAATATCTCAGATATCTAACACATTCCTCACAAAACAGACTAAGCTTTTCAGAAGCTTTAAAAAAAAAAAGTGTAGATGGCATCCCTTCAGATGGTGAAACAGAAAGCTCAAGGATGCCTGAGGCTGTAATTTCACAAGCATTTTAAGGCAGCACTGTCCCCAAAAGAAGCTTCCCCCCCCCCCCAAACTGGGTATTTCCTCCTCTGTGCCAGAAACGGCATGTGTGCTCCTGCTCTTACCATGAACACATGATAAAATGGGTAAGGGAAGTGATGGAAGCGGTTATTTCTGGAGACGGGAGTGAAACTGTGCACTGAACCTTGAGTGGAGAAATGAGGCATTCAGTTGGGCACAGGCTGACCCCAGCTGGCCATGCACAGCCCAGCAAAGCCACTGAAGGGAGAGAAAGGTCTTGTTACAGTTACCAAACCACTCAAGCTGTTTAGAGGTTTAGGGGTTATTCAGTTTCTCAGAGACAGACGCTGTAGATTTTCCCATAGTGACCCTTGCTACAGACCTATTTTATTTTTAGATGGGCCCTCCTTGTATGAGAGAAGTTCAGTCTCCAAGATATCAGCATTCAGATACTCGAAGCAGGACACCAAGGCACGAGCCCTGAACTAGAAATCAGCTCTATTATCTTGTGACATTAGTGAAGTCACACAACGTTGACCATGGATCGCATAAAATAGATCATGGTATTCTCCAAAGAACTTTGAAAACCGCTGACAAGGCTTTCCTCAGAAAGTGAGCTGCAGAACAACGGCAGCTTGGTTTCCTGCATGTCCAAGTCTTCTGCTGTTCTGTCTCTTCTTCCCTGGCTCCAGACCTCTCCTCACCCCAATAATCCTCCTGACCTATTATGATTCTTACAAGCATAGAGTAAAAGTAATGAAAAGTCATGTAATTGCTGAGCTGCGCCTGCCTTACTCTCAACAGAGGGACTAATTTGGTCACTCCACTCAGTGACTTATTTGTGAGACATCCATCTGTCCTTCAAATTTGATTAAAATTATCCAGCAGATTCAAAAGGTGTTAGAAAGGAACAGTGAAGAAACAGAGCCAGAGTAGTACAGGCAAAAACCAGCTATTAATATATTAGAACAGAATTATGCTGTCTTGAAAAGG